GTCCCTTTTATTAGATTATCTCCATTGACACTGTAAACAACTGAGCTACATGCTAATATGTGCAGAAAACCAATACAGCCTGCATCAAAGGCTCTGCTATAATTAAGCAGCTATTCTTCAGAAAGAGGTTCTGTTTCTGTGCCCCAGGCAGTCGGGGGCTAATGAGCTTTGTAGTTTAAGATTGGATGGGTGGCCATGTTGATTTAATGCATGTCCGTTAAGCATTTCAACAGCCGCTGGGTATCCATTAATGAATTAAGGACAGTGTATGAAGGATGCTGCTCTTAAAGCTCAATGGTTCTGAGGGACAAGATATGTAGTATTCAGTGCTTGTATCATAGTGGCTTGAATGGGGATGGTTATCAAAAAGCAGCTTGTTAGTGAAGGCAGTGTGCCGTATATTAATTAGGGCCCCTGCTCTAGTGATGTGATTGGTTACAACATGACTGCTGACCTTCCTTAACTTAGAGGACACCTGAGAGAATTTCTCTCTTTCTCTCCCTAAACAAGAGATAAACAAGCTCTATTTTGTTGCTGTAATACACATGTTTAATTTTAGATTAATCACAAATTCTGATGTATAAAAAACATTGGTAGTTGTTGGTAATTAATATTAGTATTGAGTAGAAACAGAATACCTCAGAGCTGACTTATATGATGTAAAATGCATCAGTAAATACTAGGGATGCACCAATATGGATTTTTTCAACTGCTACCAATAACCAATAATTACCTGCTTCTCATGGACAATAACTGATACAACATTTTTATTAACACACCCAGGTTCTGTCTCATTGTTGCATCATTGACTAGCCTACAATTCCCAAGTAGAACAGCAATGCACTATTGATTGACCTCACACATTAACACTCAACTCAGTGGTGTAATTTGTGAAGATTATCTTGCTGAACAACACATGTAAGCATCATAAACGTGTGTTTGCCACAGAGCTTATTTTCTGTAATAATCCAAAATCCAGTGGAAAAATCCTGTAGGCTTTTTGATGACGGGACCAGGGTGAGGCTAACTTCCAGGTTGGCCTACAAAAAAAGTCATCCCTGCATCACTCTATTGACCACTGTGCCCCTGTCACCTGCCCTCTGTACATTGTTTATGTATCTACCCCATCAGCTCCGAATTCCCATCATTGCCCCATAAACACACATGGTACATCTACACAGGTGTTTTGTTGATCACACTTCTTCTCAGGACTATTGAGCAGAACTATTGAGCTATTGCAGGACGTGCTTCATTGAGATCTCCCTCAACTCTCTGGCATGGCGTGTTCTAAAGAGAGAAAAAAAAAGAAAATGAAAACAGAGCTTTTAATGAAGAATGGACAGACTCTTACATGTTCAGTCTTCCCATGGCCAGTTCAACAACCAGTATGTCTCATCATTTGTTCCAAGACGATAGCCATTACTAAGAGCAGCAACATGAAGTGCCACTACGTGACAAAGCACAGAGCATCTTTTCGGCAAACATACCCACTCAAAACCAAACTGGGGGCACAGAAAATAAAGATATTTTATGTGGCACTGAATAACCGAATCATAAGACAAGTCCAATGACAGATGGTGGTGATGGGGGTTCTATCTAAAAATTAACAAATTGCGTACTGATAATAAACATGACAAAATGCCCCTTTCACCTCCTCTAGATGAGTTCAGATTATCAAAACAATGACAGGAAATACCTGACTCTGGATTTCAAGCAATATCCCCTCAGAATGTGTTGTGCATCCTCTAAATCTGCAAGAATGTCCTTTTATGAAAAACAACAGCATCTGTACTTAGTTCATATGCCTAATGCTGGGCCATAATTCTATGTTTTCAGTGTGAACGCATCTAGCTGTCTATCCGTTGACAAATCCAACAGTTTGGGAAACTTGGGAGCAGCGAGACAAAAAGCCTGATGGGCAGCTGGATTTCTTCCAAAACCCCACAACGTACTCATCAAAGTCTGTCTGTGTTACTTTCCATCATTTATAAAACCCAGACAAAATATAAATGAACACAAATGCAGCTACATTGGAATTTTAGACTAAATAAATAAAGATAAAGAGTATATTTTCTGTATATCTTTAATGTAAATAATTTCTATTTACAATGCAAAACAGAGTCTTTCAATTTATAAAACATGTTTTTCAATTTCTAATTGATTAAAGTCCTCTAGGTAAAGGCGTGGTGGTTGGGTTTCAAAGTTTACAAAACTTAGTTTAGTTAAAAATGTATTCATCAATCAATTCATTATGGATAGATAGATAGATAGATAGATAGTGTGACTTACAGTATTAACCACGCCCACTTATGGATGTCGATCTGAATACAGATACAGAGACAGATAATTTTGTTGGTTTCACAAATACTGATAATGATGTCTCTGCACACCTCTAACACAAATCATGTCTGATGGATGTTGACCACTCTTTTTTTCTCTTCCTTTTAAGCCACTTTTTTTTTGCAAACCACTCAAACCTCTTAAAGATTTGGTGAAATCCCTCAAACGTAGTGTGTCCTTAAGGTAAACTTGTTGCAGCAGTCTGTTGTGCCCTAGCTGGGAAGCTTTCAACTGTAATATCAGTTAATCTAACTTGATACAGTTGATTAGATTGCTCACATAAAGGTCAATAAAGACATATTACATCAAACAGGATAACAATAGGTTGGAAACATATTGACCACACATTTCCCAGATTATTTTCTTGTAGTCCGTGTTAATGTTTTTCACTTTTTAAAGCCAGTGTTAATGTTTTAACACAGACTACATGCTTTTTACACCCATGTGTTTTTGTAATAAATGGTGACATAATGGCCTTCAATCAAAGCATTTGGAGACACTGTCTCCTCTTTGCCTTGAGGAATCACATGTCACTCCATCAACTTCACATCATTCAATTTTGTTCCTAGCTGCTGCCCCCTCACATCAGATAGAATCATAGCTCAGAGTGGGTCGCTGTCAGAGACATCAAAGTGTTTATCCCCTCTTACCCTGAGCTTTGAAGTGATCCGTTTTCTCCTTTATCATGTCATTATACATAACCTTAATCTTACAACTTGACAGAAGGTGACTTAAGGTCAAATTCAATCTACAAACTCTAGTATTGATCTTCTGATGCAACAAATTACAGCTTCTCTTAATCCCCCAATTTTCTTTATCCCTTTCTGATTCTGTGCGTTCTCCCTCTCAGGCTGCCAGTCTTTAGTTATGCATATATTCTAACCTTAAAGGACAACTTCGGTATTTTTCAACCTGGGCTCTATTTCCCCATGTGTATGTGTGCGTATGATTCATGGGTACCACTCGTTCTAAAATCTGTTCAGTATTTAGCCGCGAAACTAGCTAAAACGGTAATGGGGGCAAATGCGTCCCGTATAAAAGTGCTTTTTTTCGCCACTGACCGGTTCAGATCACCAGTGCTATCTCAGTAGATAGCATATTGTAGCGGCCCTGGGGCAGTGGTGAGTGTGAATGAGTGGAGTCAGCTGTCAGTCAGTGTTGGAGCAGAGAGGGGGAGGGCGGCCCCACTCAGTACTGTAAGTGAGTATGTGTGTATGAAGTGTGTGTTACGCTAGAAGAGTCATAGTTTGGGACGGAGTCTTTTACATGCTACCCCCTGGAGTGTTACCGGAGTTTTTGGAGTGCTCAAATAAACGGGCCTTTTTCCCGAACGCAAGAACAGGATGTCGCGCAACACCCCGTACAGCTTTCATAGGCTGCCTTTGTCAGATGGCGAGATGCTGAAGTTGTGGCTAGTTGTGCTACAAATGGATGCTAACACTCCTGTCCAGACACTGCGCCTTGCAGACCATCGGGTCTGCAGTGCTCACTTCTCCCAAGATGACTAATGCCAGCCGAAGAAGAGAAGACATCCAATCCCGAAACACCTCTTCCTCAAGAAAACGGCTGTCCCACGAGTAGAGAGAGCTACAGACACAGTGGAGCAAAGCTCGTGACATCACACAGCCCAGAGGTAAGGGAAATGCTAGTATGCTATTTACAGAGATAGCACTGGTGATCTGAACCGGTCAGTGGCAAAAAACACACACTTCATACACACATACTCACTTACAGTACTGAGTGGGGCCGCCCTCCCCCTCTCTGCTCCAACACTGACTGACAGCTGACTCCACTCATTCACACTCACCACTGCCCCAGGGCCGCTACAATATGCTATCTACAGAGATAGCACTGGCGATCTGAACTGGTCAGTGGCGAAAAGAAGCACTTTTATACGGGACGCATTTGCCCCCATTACAGTTTTAGCTCGTTTCGCGCCTCAATACTGAACCAATTTTAGAACCAGTGGTACCTATGAATCATACGCACACATACACATGGGGAAATAGGGCCCAGGTTGAAAAATACCGAAGTTGTCCTTTAAGTACAGATAATAGCTTTCTCATTAATGGCCTTTTGTAGCCTCATTTATTATGACGTGTTTTACTTGAGCTTCATCCTCACAGAGCCACATAAGTCTCAACAAAGCGCAGCATGCAGAGTTTCCCCCATTTAACAAACTGTTAATTGTTGTGACCCATTCCCAGATAAAACTTTGTGGAAGGGAAAATCTTTCCCAGCAGCCTTTCCCCTTGCAGGGTCCTACTTATTCTATTTATTCTATGCAAGGGTTTTGAAAGTCAGCATAAAGCCACAGGACCTTGCTCAAACTCAGTCAGTCTCCAAACAGTGAGAGGAGCTGTTTCCAAGTCGAGCTGCTTAGAAAGATAACAATGATGGAGTCCTAAAGGCAAACAAGTTCTGACTGACTTGCCCTGCAGCTTTGAAGTGGTGCCTTCTCCCTGAGCTCAGTCACAGTCAATGTGCACAGGGTGAGAAGAAGGGGGGTGGAAGGTCTACGCACATCTGAAGACTGCCTATCTGCATGCTGTTGGGCTTGTATAGTTAAATAACTCTTCTTATTCTATCTGTGTGTGACCCTTATTTTTTCCTCTTTTCATTATGCTATTCATCTGCCCTTGTGCAATCCGGTTATCCAGCCAGCAGCATACAGAGGTGTGGGCCCACCAGGTGCTCAGGTGTCCCTGGAGCAGCAGGCCTACATGCTGCTAACGGAGCCAGAGAGGCAGACCATGGCCTACTACCTGCAGGAGTACCAGGAGGGACACATAGGAGTGGAGCCACTGGCCATGGCTCTGTTTGAGCTCTTCAACACACATGCAAAGGTACACCAGCCTTCAGGGTGTCTCTACAGCTGCTCTCTGTGGGGTCTGAAAGGGCGCTAGCCACATGATTTGAGCTCGTGAAATATTTTTAAGAAAGTACATTGTGGAAAGATAACGCTGAAATGTATCAGAATGTAGGAATATACTGTTTAGCCAAATCATAAAACCAAATTTTTCCTTTGTCTCAACAAAATAATTTTGTACATAAAAGTTAATGTACCAAATTCTAATAAAGCACCTTTTATAAAGGGTTTATAAGTTGTAATGAATCACTTTATTAATGGTTAATTAACATTAGTTAATTGATCAGTTAATTAATGCATAATAAACAATAAATTGGTTATATACCACATATTGTGATTAGAATATTTTACTGATTATTTTGTCATTTCTGTTGTTAAATTTCTTATTTCGAGAAGGAATCAGATTAATGCAAAGTCAATATTCATATCCAGCCATTAAATTAAATGATCTGCGTCCAAAATAAATCACCTATAAAGCTCCATATAAATATAAGAACATGGTGCCAGAGCTTAAATATCCTCCCATGAAGACCTTCAAACCTAGCTAACATACATTCATATGAGGCCATGTCTGCCATTAAAGGGACAGGTCACCCCAAAGTCCAAAAATACATATTTTTCCTCTTACCTGTAGTGTTATTTATCAGTCCAGATTGTTTTGGTGTAAGTTGCCGAGTGTTGGAGATATTGGCCCTAGAGATGTCTACCTTCTCATCAGTATAATAGAACTAGATAGCACTCAGCTTGTGGTGTCACTTTGAGCACCACAAGCTAAGTGCCATCTAGTTCAGTTTTATTGGAGAGAAGGCAGATATCTCTATATTTCCAACACTCAGCAACTCAAAACAGTCTAGACTGATAAAAAGCACCATAGGGAGGAGGAAAAAATTATTTTTTGATTTGGGGTGAACTGTCCCTTCAAGAGCATTTGGACCACAATCTCTAAACAGTTTTTTATAATGTACAACTACAGTTTTTGATTGAAGACTGTAAGAACCCTTTATCATTGTTGTATTAACAGTTTTATTTGCAGATAATTGACAAATTTCTATTGATTGCTTATTCAAAAGTGAGAATTTGAGCACAGTTTCAAAGCAGGAAACATGAATGCCCAACTTTGTGTGTAGAGGCTGAATGTAGACGAAGTTTGACCCTGACAACTGAATCTGATTTGCCAGTGATAAAGCTGCTTCTTGACTATGAGGCTTCTCACCATTATTTCACAAACTCAAAATCTTTTAGACCCTTTCTTTATCCCAGAGAAAAGTAAGATGGAGCTGAAGATGATGGACAGAAAACAGAACGATCTGCCATAGTCAGAATGCAGTCAGCCTTTGATCCCTGCATCAGTTGCCAGATATTGCAGAAATTCATACACATCCAGTCTATGCTAGCAAACAGCATATGTACAAGAAAATAGCAGTGCATATAACTCATATGTGATGCTTTTATGTCTTTATGCTTTCATCAAGGCTCTTGATTATAGTCCTCCAGCTATGGATATGTGTATTCATTTGTAGTTTTATACATTCAAGATCCTTGCATCCATTAAAACAGGAAGACTGTTGTAGAAGCATTAACTACGAGTTGTAAACCATAAAGTTGTGGTTGCCAGACACATTACTGAGACCAGCAGCTGTAAGCAGTCATTAAGCTGCTGAAGACATGGAATGAATCTGATATATGACGAGACTAATGTCAAAATTAATATCCAAGGTCAGTTGAGTAGATGAGACATTTTACAAGTGCTCTTGGCTGCACATATTGTATTGTTATGATATTTTTTTTGTAATTCTTTGCAAAGTGAATCAGCTGTAGTGTTTTGATATTTTGACATTTTCTTCCACAATGAGGGGATAAATCAGAATGAAAATAATCCAGTTGTTACATCTACGATGTCACACACTCTCAAAGAGAAACATAGTTGCCAGACTAAATGTTGGCATTGTACATTTCTGAAAACCACAGACACATTACATTTTTATGTCATTATGTAGTGTATATGTTGAAACCTTATGTTTCAACATTGCTGTGGTTATCATGTGGTTAGGTTTAGGGACAAAAAACACTTGGTTATGGTTAAGAAAAGATCATGTTTTGGCTAAAAATACCCAAAAGCAGCAATGTCTTGTGGCACTATCCCATCCCAACTGGTGACACAGCGACAGATCACTAAAAAAAGCCACGTTACGGGGACTGAAAAGCCGCTGGAAAAACGGCCACAGGTTGCTTAAAACATGAGTGTTTGGGGGCTGAAAAGTCACGAGAAACAGCAGTGACTCACTAAGTCACAACCAATTTTGTTATTGTTGGTCTTGAACACTGGTCTTCAGCTTGGCAGGCATCTCTCCTAGGTATTATGCTATCCAGCATCTGCTCTACCTTCCAATGACAAAGTCATCTCATACACTATGTCACTTTAAAAATACTTGGGTATTGCAAATGCGAATTTAACGCATTTGTGGGTTGCAGAAATATACAATGCCAACATTTTTTGGGCTGCAAAGAAACTGTTGTGGATTTGTTCGATCAGAAGCAGGCAACAAACCATGTGGCTTTTTTAAAGTGAAATTTCGGTTTATTTCAACCTGTCTCCTATCGTCCTAGAATTGTTTCAAGTGACTAGTGACATAAAAATAATAGTTAGCATGTTAGCCGTTAGCCTAGATACAGCCGGGGCGCATAGTAGCGTCAGACCTGTTAAAACTTAAGTGAATGGGCAACTTTCAAGTGCAAAGTTAGTCCACTAAACAAGCTTTTTTTCCACAAAGACCGCCTCATATCATTAGGATAAATGTCAGAGAACATATAGAAAATGACATGTAAACGTGTTGTCTTACCTTATCGGTGTGCTGCCATGTTTGTTTACCATTTAGTTCTGCTTTCCAAAGCGTGGCCAAAATATCGTGAGAACAAACAGCGATCTCATACCATGCCTGAAATCTCGCGAGAACAAGCAGCAACAGCTGGAAGGCAGAACCGGAAAAGTTCATTCATTTATTTTATTAAAGATTTATAGAATAATGGCTGACTTTTTGCCAGACTTCGACTTTGTGGAGGAGGAATTTGATTTTGCAGAGTTTGATGGCCGCCCTTATTTATTTGAGCCAGAATACACTGACGAAGAGCTTTGTGAAATTGAAGAACAGAGGAGGAGAGAGAGAGAGGCGCAACAGGTAGAGGACGACAGAGGAGGAATGGCTGCTGCAAGGCTGCGTAGCTCTGGAGATTGGTGGTGTACCTGTGAATGCTGTGCCCCAATGCCCACAGAAGAGGAATGCCTCTGTTGCAAGGAATGGGACCGGTTGAAGCCTTATTTTCAAGGTCTGGATGTGACCGAGGACGAGACACCTCCACCTGGAGTAGTATCCAGCTGGGCTTTATCTAGAGCTCGCCACATTTCAGGCACTGTATGAGATCGCTGCTTGTTCTCGCGATATTTTAGCCGTGCTTTGGAAAGCAGAGCTAGAGGGATAAACAAACATGGCAGCACACCGGTAAGGTAAGACAACAAGTTTACATGTCATTTTCTATATGTTCTCTGACATTTATCCTAATGATATGAGGCAGTCTTTGTGGAAAAAAAGCTTGTTTAGTGGACTAACTTTGCACTTTAAGGTTGCCCATTCACTTACGTTTTAACAGGTCTGACGCTACTATGCGCCCTGGCTGTATCTAGGCTAACGGCTAACATGCTAACTATTATTTTTATGTCACTAGTCACTTGAAACAAATTTAGGACGATAGGAGACAGGTTGATATAAACTGAAATTTCCCTTTAAAGAGAATCAAAATCAAGTCATTTCAAACCAGATGGAACCTTAACTTTACTTTTTGTCAGATATGTCTGAATATAAGGAACAGAAAAAAGGAAAAAACTCATCCTATAGAGCACTGCAGACAAAGCCTGCAGTGCTCTATAGGATGTGACCATTTTTAAAATGGAAATGATACATTGTCTCGTGTTTGTAAACCACATATTTGGTTTCCTGTTCACTCTTTAAAATTTGTATTTTGTACAACAAGAGAAAAGTATGCAGCAGTGTAATTTATTTTCATTTACTTTATTCTGCAAAGATTTTTTAAAAATCTTTAAATGTTGGTATAGCAGACAAGTTTATCTTTTTTCTTTCGACGTATTGTTTCAGTGGCTTTACTTACATTTAAGACCCAAGACTTACACTGCTCTTTGCTTACATTGTGTGGGCATATTCAACCTGAGGCACAATGTGTAGGATTTGAATAATCTGAAAGTTGCTGTAATCACATATTAATCCTAGTAAATTTAACACTGCCTCACCTGAACTCAGAAACTCTTTGCTCTTTCCCTCATGCATGTTCTTATCTAAGTTTTCTGTTCTCCTTTCATCCAGCTGTCCATGTTGTCTGAGGTGAGGAGTCTGGTGGCTCCCCAGGACCTGGAGTTATATGACAGGCTTGTGTTGCACCGTGAGAGGGAGGCCAACCAGGCCTGGCATGGAGGCCTAGGAGTGATGCACCCACAGGGCCACTGCAACCACTCGTCCACTGTGATCCATGATGGGGGAAACACAGTCCCTGCTACGGTAAATCCTTCATCTACTATACCTGAAAATGTGGCATCCATTGTAGTATGGTGTGGCGTTTGCGTTATTCCGCTTTTTAATTTGAACTTAATTCAAGAAAAACACGTAAAATTCCTTCAGAATCAATGAAGTATAGGTCAGTCAGTCAGTCCATCCATCCATCCATGTAAGGAGTACACAATCACAACTAAACATAGCTGTTCAACAATGTTTACAGTGCAAACTGAGATTCATCTGTGAAGAGAACACTGCTCCAAAGTGCTACATGCTATTGAAGGTGAGCAGTTGCCCACTCAAGTCGATTACGATGACAAACTGCTGCCAGGTCAAGACCCTGGTGAGGACAACAAGCATGCAGATGAGCTTCCCTTACGTAATTTCTGACAGTTTGTGCAGAAATTCTTCAGTTGTTCAAACCAATTGTTGCATCAGCTGTTTTGGTGGCTGATCTCAGATGATCTTGAAGGTGAAGACGCTGGATGTGGAGGTCCTGGGCCAGTGTGGCTACGCGTGGTCTGCGTTGGTTGGCCAGTTAGATGGACTGCCAAAGTTACTGAAACAACATTGGAGACATATAATGATAGTGAAATGTACATTCAGTTCATGGGCAGTGACAGCTGACAGCTGTAGCACTGCATTGTTTCATCAAACTGTACATTTTAGAGTGGCCTTTTAGTGTGACCATCCCAAAGTACATCTGTGTAGTTATGATGCTGTTTAATCATCATCTTGATATATCACACCTGTCTGGTGGATAGATTATCTTGGAAAATGAGAAGTGACACTAACAGGGATTTTAAGAAATTTGCAACAAATATTGGAGAGAAATATATCTGTTGTGTGCATAAAGATGTCTTAGGTCTTTAGTGTGTTGCTTTAAAATTGTATTCAGCGTGTATACCTTTTTGATTTTTCACCCACCGTTCCCAGTACATACAGTAGCATGCAAAAGTTTGGGCACCTCTGGTCGAAATTTTGTTTACAGTGAGTAGTTGAGTACAAGATTAACTGATTTCCAAAAGGCATGAAGCTAAAGACAACACGGGACACAGGAAAGGTTTTCTTCTCATTACTCTTCCATGAAGGTCATATTTGTACAGGTGTCACTGCACAGTAGAACATTGCACCACCACTCTTGCCTCTCTAACAATCCTATGAGCAGCTCTCTCAGAAAGTTTTCTTGGTCTTCCAGAACTCAACTTGACCTCCACAGCTCCTATTAACAACATTTCTTAATTACATTACCAACTGAGGAAACAGCTACCTTGGTAAAAGCTGTCTGAGAGCGCAAATGTCTTGGGGTGGCCAAACTTTTTCATGGTGCTCCTCTCCTTTTTGCACTCTGACATTGTACAAAAGAAAAATTATACACTGATCTTGCTTAAAATGTTGAAAATCATGTTTCATCTTTTACTTCACACATTTTGGAGATCAGTTCATCTTCTACTCACTGAACTATTCACAGTAAACAAAATTTTGACCAGAGGTGTCCAGACTTTTGCATGCCACTGTAATTGGCAGTGGGTGTTCAAATAATCAAAACACAATCCTGCACATAGACATTACGGGAAACTGAGTGGGGAATGACGTATAATCTTGAGCGCAGAGTGTCCTGTTCTCATGCTCTTCCAGCCTTGCTCGTATTTTGCACTGCATGACTTTATTCAGAGGATCCACATTGATCACTGAATGTCTGTGTGTGTGTGTGTGTGTGTGTGTGTGTGTGTGTGTGTGTGTGTGTGGGCACCACTGCATGTATCATTTTTTTCCCTTCTCGTTCAGTCTCAGCTTCCTAGCATCAGTCTGTGACATAGAGCAGCTCATCTTTGTGGCAGGTCAGCGACTATGTAGTATTGATGTCTCACTGTGGCCCACATCAATCCACAGAGACCTCATTGTGCCAGGGTACAGTGTGCTTCTAATCCACTTCCTCCAGTAGTCTGTCCCCCAGAAGAACCAACAGTGGAACATAATCTGACAACTCTGGCTTTATCTTGAACGAAGTGTGGGTTATTTCTCTCTGCTTCATGATTCTGACCCACTCTTTGACCATACTCCCACAGGTGCTTTTGGTGCATTTGTCTTGTTGTGGTTAGTTGTTTAGTGGTGCTATTTAAAGCTTGCTGGTGACAGTGTTTGCCGCAGCACACCATGTGTCTGTGTAATTGCCTGTGCTGACACACTCATTATTGTGGTTGTGAAATTACAGCCCCCGATAAAAAGCTAATTGCATTTAATTGACAGTCACTTAGTTACTTAGTGAGAAACAGTAAGATTCATTGTAGCAACACCATGTTATGACACACCATTGTCATAGATAGATATTTTATTCAAGTTAGATAGTCATTTAGAATAGCCAATAGCTGCCAAAGAAGGGCATGGGGTATTTAGAGATGTGCATAAAGAGCTTGAGCCCTACTGAAGCTTAAAATCTTATTATGTCAGTGACAGCTAAATAGATAGACAATGGGGAAAATAACCTTGCTAGATAATATTTCACAGTCCAGGCACCCATTTCGAATGTTAACACTCTATGAAAGAAATATTTTTGCTACTCAAAAGATGGTCTTTTCATAAAATTGGCCATGCAGTAGACAGACACAAATACTTTTGACTCTGGTGCTCTATGACCAGAGAAAACAGAGAAAAAGTGCTATGACATTAATTTTTGCTCAAAAGCTAGAAAACCAACAAATACCGGAATGCACTGTGCCACACTGGGCCAATAAATGCCCCCGCTGGTGTTTTTCGTTTTCACAGGAAATTAAGGTTTCTTGTAAAAAGTTTCATTAAAAAGATCATGATTTGGGTTAAAATAAGGTCATTTGATATGTAAATTAAGTTAACAACAATGTCACTTGACATCATTTCACATGGGACATGAACACTGGTCTTCTGACTGAGACTGCATACAAATGGTACATTTCCTGTGAAAACGGAAAAATGCATTGTAACAGGCAGATCTTGACATGGCATCCCAGAATGTCACAACCAACGTACTCAGGGTTCCTTGCATGTCATATGTGGACGTGGAAATTGCATGACTAAACATCATTATGTAACAAGGTCAGAGTGAGAATGTGTTGACTGAAGGGTTCCTTGTGCATCAGAAATGTACACCGACGACCAAGACGTTCTTGATGCCCTGGGAATGAGAATGGGCTGGGTGTTTCTCATGTTGCTGGAGGATCACATAGACCCCCTTAAACAATTCCTGGGGCTCCATGAGCGTTTTCTGTCGCAAACAAAAGATAGAGCCTCCAGTCTCAAGTGCCCCCCATATGATTCAGCTGTTACAGAAAAAAAAGTTTCACAAACACTTTGTTCTAACTGTCTAAACTTTCTTGTAGCCATTATGTTGTCCTGAGGGGCAAATCCCATCCATCTGGCATCTGCATTAAGTAGGCTAAAGTAAACCATACTTAGTGTTTATTACAGATTTAGCCCTGCAGTACTACAATGCTTCATGCTGTTTCTTTCAGACTGATGGCTCTGTTGGTGGCTGGACAGAACAAGACCAAGAGGAGAACACTAATACCTTGAAAAACATTTCACTGGTATGTGTCATTCTTTATTTTATCTGCAATAAAAAAGATGCATATACAGTTTCAAAATCAAGATTGACACTAAATATGCATCATTTATTCTTTTTGTTTTGGGGAACAGGGGGATCAAAATATTATTTCTCTATGTGCTGTACTATATAAAGTTGGATGACAATAAAGTCTCTTATAACTTCAAGGCTTTTTCCACGTTATTCCTTATTAGGCTCAGAGAGGAGGTACACCCTTTGAATGATTCATATATATTGTGCCCTTCTTTTCATTTTCAGGATGAAATGCAGGCTTCAGGTGAATCTCCTAAATTCTTCAGGGCTGCCCCTCTCCAGGCTCAGAACAGGCCGCCCAGGGAGAAGGAGCTCAGCCTGAAGCCTTCAGCCCGTCGGGTGCAGCCCGGCTCCAGCCTGCTTTTTAGTGGCCCCACCCGGCTGCTCCAGGACTGCCTCCACAAGTCACTCAAATCCCTCCCCACCATCCAGCAGCCCTCACCAACCTCTGCCCACCACACATGCGCTGGTGCCACCTACCACACTTCCCTCAATGCACTCCATCATACCTGCCAGAGTTCCCCTCAACTCTCTGACTCTGAACACCACAACCATCTCCACTTCGCTCATCACTTCCACCCCCATGCTGCCCACAGCCGGCCCAGTTCAGGACACCACACCTGCCCGGGCTTTCTGCATCATCGGGACTCCTCCGGCTCTGCTAAGCCAGAGGCATCTGTCAAGCTCACTTGCAGATCCAGCTCCTATGAGAAGTCCTCCATCTTGTCAAAGTCTGCGTCCTCTTCCAAAGCAGCATCTCCCATACCATCGCCTCATCTATCACCCCATCCCTCACCATGTCCCTCTCCATGCCCCTCTCTCATTACACCTGCTGCTCCGCCCTGTAGTCCTGACCAGCCAGGCTCACCTGCCCTCACCCAGAAGGTCATCATAACAGACATGAACCGGCTGTCTGCAGACTCCAGACCACAGCAGAGAGGTATACAAGTCTGTGTCTGTGTCAGTGTGTCTTTGTGTGGCTGGTGTGTTGTCTCCCTGTGCAGAAAAACATCTCAGTTATGGATCAACATAAGATACAATTATTGGGCAAAATTATAAATTGTTACCGACTGCCACAAAAACATTATGCGATCATGTTAAGTAACACACTGTATCTCTGGTGGCCGGAAATAAATGTGCCATCTGGTTGCTGAGTTCCTGATTTACTGCTGGTGTGAAGTTTCAAATACAACAATCTTCATTTGAGGCTAGCACAAAATATTAAGATTATATCAAATATTACTAAATTATTTATTATATTCTGTTCTCATTAATTAATTAACTTAAATTGCTTAAGTTGACTTCCTTTGATGGATGTTAAGAAGAAACTCAACATTTCCTGCAGAGGGGGTTTATTATCATTTTGATATATTTCCCTTTATCAAATAGCTAACAGTACAGAGGCACTAACATTAGGTAAAGACAGTACAGGAAACATGGGAAAAGAGCCAGGGATGACACAAAACTCTGGGGAGGAATCTTGGAGTAATGGCTCTCTGATCCTATATCTATCACGCTACAGGGTCGCTACAAAGTCCCTTCTTTGTGCACATAGAACCAAACAAGAGTGGCATCATGCCACTCAGGTGTGTTTTTTTTTGTTTGTTTGTATTTTTTTTGGAGAGCATGTCAGCACACACACAAGCAAAAGAGTCATAATGGGCATGACATGTAACACAGCAACATTGGCCTCTAGTGTGACATGTGACATATGGCAGCCTTGGCAGCGCTTTATAAAGAATAAAAATTGCACTATCAAGTCGATAATCATTTACCCTCTCCCCTCCTGTGCTTGGAGGGTAAAGAGCTCCTGGACCTCATTGTTATCCCAATTCATGGACATTTTCATCTGCTGTTCTTCTTTGAGTTAGCTGCTAACTGCCATAAGCTACTTATTAAATCTCCCGTGGCGGGTCACACACATAACACGTCAAAACATCACACCCGTCCCACCCATGATCTCTTCTTGCCGGCTGTCCCATTTATACAGATGTTGTTGTGGCACTCCTAACTCTGATGCTGGCTTAAAGGTGAGACAGTTTCATCTATTGCCTACTATTCTGTGCACAGTTTTACAAAAATGATTTGCTCTGTCATGTTTTGTATGAAAGTGACGTTAGACCAAAAGTCTAGAATGAAAACAGTAAAGATAAGATAAAATCATATGACTTGCACAGAAACAGGTTGAAAGGTAAGGGAATGTCTAGTTTTGAATGAAATAAGTAAAATTAAAATAAAATTAAACAGAGAAGACTATGAAAAAGCTACATACAACTGACACATTATACTACCTACCAGCTCAGTGGCCTAGTGGTAGAGTGTCCGCCCTGAGACTGGGAGTTCAGTCCCCGGTGGGGTCATACCAAAGACTATGAAAATGGGTAAAATGCCTCCCTGCTTGGCACTCAGCATCAGGGGTTGGAATTGGGGGGTTAGATCACCACATGATTGATGATGGGTCAATGGGTCAAATGCGGAGAACAAATTTCACACACTCAGTTGTGTGACAATCAGTGGGACTTTAACTTCATACCTTCTAAACGAATTGTGCAAAAGAAATCCAGGAGTGTGCCAGGAGTGTGAATTGACATGCCCATCAAGTCAACAGGTTAACATAGAGAGTGCACTAACAATAAACATCATCACCCGCAAGAGCAGATCAGAAAACACTTTATATTATCATACTAAAATACAACGTATGATAAAATCATACTAAAATGAGATGAAATATATGTTTAGAAAAGGTTCTCTCTGCAGCTGAGGTAAATAAAGTCCACTATCCGAGAACAGACTATAGGTTACCCCTGTTGCTGTATGTATTGACTGTTTGTGTACTAACATAAGTTTCTCATCCAGGGGCCACCCTGTCCCAACTGTCTGATAGTGGCCAGACTCTGAGTGAGGACAGCGGTGTGGATATAGCCGAGGCAGGAGGCCTCAGTAAGGACGGCAGCCCTCGACCTAGCAAGAACCAGCAAGGCCATCTGGAACAGCCAGGGGCCCATGCGCCTCCTCCAGGGTCCACCAGACAAGTAAGGGCTTCACACTGTAATAAATAACTACTTCAAGAAGTCATTAGATGGACCATGTTGTTTGTAGTTTACTCTGAACAACTTCAGAATGTCCTGTCCCAAGGTGACTTACTGTATTAACCCCAAAGACTGTAAAAATAATGGATGTAGCTATTGTAATGTCACCCATTGGTTTGTGGACTTTTTTGGACTGAGAAGCCAAGGACACTATTGGCATTTTATCTCAGGGGTCTGTGGGGCTTGACTTTCGTTTGGAGCCAGCCTTAAATCGCCATTCAATGAGGTGCAGTTTTTTACACTTCCATGTTGGCTTCATTTTTCAATCCCAGAGGTTGCAGCTTGGTGAACCCAAGCGGCAACTGGGGCTTGACCCAAGCAGCAACCAGAAAAAAAATGGAAACATTTTTTTTATATATAATGGAGAGTGCCAAAAACTGCAGTTCCTCAAATAGCCATTTGAGGCTGGCTCTAAAAGCAAGTCAAGCCCCATAGACCCCCATGTTAAACGGCCCAACTTAACAGCAGATATAAACATGTTAACAACCCAGCACAAAAAAACAGATTTAGTCTCTCTAGCCAATTTACCTATTCTTGACAACTGTCTGGGGTTGAATTTTTATATAACTCTTTATATAACTAATTTTTATATAACTCACCTGTTATCAAGGCTTTAAATAATGCATAATTAAGGGTGCGGCTGTTTTGAGTGACAGGTGGGGGGCCATCCATGGACAAGTAGCTACCACAGTGACATTATTGGTTAGGTAAGATAAAGGTTGCGTAACCCTAGATTCACAGCTGCAGCTGTCACTATTTCCAGCTCATGAAAGTTAATGGTAATATTTTGGTCGCCTAAAAAAGTGTTTGTACTGTGGTATTAAAAGACCCTCCAGAGGTTTGGATATTTAGGTTTTCTGGTACGTACATTTTGATAAAATGTTTTTAAATAGTATAATAGTGAATCACAGCTGTAAATGCTCCCTGCGAGCTAAGCTAGCAGCTAGCGTTAGGGTTATATCCACCTTCTGACCCAAATATGGTCCCTTCTGGCTCCAAAAATCCAAGATGGCCAAACTTGAGGTTTCAAAATGGGAGGTCAAAAACCAGTGGATGACAACACGGTTGCGTGGACCATTATTATATACAGTTTATGTGTATCCCAGTGACTTATAAAAATGTGTGACTGCAGCTATCTGAAACACTACTTTTGTTGCTTTTATTTAATACACATCCAATCAAATGAACAGATGAAGAACAAAACATGACAGAAATTAAGTACACTCTGTCCCTGCTTATTTGCCGACAAGGAAAAGATTGTGTTGTGGAGAATCAGAAACATCAAAGCAAGACAAAATGTCAAGAATATGACAATAGTTTAAATCTATTTCTTTGATAGTCAAACTGTATGAAGTATGTTCACTAATATTTTTTGGACTGTCTCAGACCACAGGAATTACATGTACAAATTTTGAAAATGAGTGTAGTTACCCTTTAAGTTCTTAGTATATATGTATGTACATACAGAAAGAGAGAGAGAGAGAGAGAGAGAGATATTGAATAACAGTAAATTAAATAAGGACTATTTTCTTCCAACGCAAATCAATTTCCATGAGATGTTTGGGATAATCGTGATCCAATTAAATGGTAATGGTTAATACAAATTACAAAAAAATAAAATAGAATAAAGAGGAGAAACTGGTGCAAACTCAAAAACATTAAAGCCGATTATAAAAGAGATGCATTGCACAGATGTTTAAGCACCAAGGCCCCAAAACAGTGATATTTTGGCACTGGCTCAATTCAGAATATAAGAACCTGCAAGTAAGAAGCCTCAGCATTACTCTTTGTCATAATTCATTTGCTAAATAGAACAAAACTGTCTCGGTAACTGTGTGAGTGCACTCATTTAATCTTTCAGAAGTGTCCTTGTTATGAAAAACACAGCACTGTTTATCCACACTATAAACTGTAACTACTGCATAATTTTGAAATGATACTAGGCAAGCTATAAGCTAATTAGATGGCCAGACGGGTGGTATTTATCATCAGAAGTCAGATGGAAAAACAGCAAATAATTACAAAACTGACTTTCAACCAGCTGTAATGTTTGTCCTTGTTTATTATTCCAACAGGCACATTTGGATTCTTCAAATGGGTTTTTAAAAACACACAAGGTCTATTTACAAGTGTTATTTGATCTAGCAGGCCTGCAAACTCATTTGGGATGAATGGAAAACCCACTAGAAGAATTGTATCTTTATAACATGTAAATGAAACACTTGGCTGGAATCTGAGATGAAGAAAGACAGAAAAGATCCACACAATGCAAAGGTTTTTTGTTTGTTTGTTTTTACATGAAAGCTGCAGTGAGTATGTTGCAGATCGTCAAAAGAATATGACAGTGGCACAACCCTTGCCAACACATCCACCTTGTTGTGCAGACATCTGGCTTGTCCCAAATCCATTATATATCCAAATTCAAGGCATGTTTTAAATATTTAATCTATTCACACTGGAGAAGTGACAGTGTATTTGTGTCTATAAATATGTTATTTGATATATGGGGGGTGGGTGCCTTTTGCCCTCATTTAACTGGTTGATTGTGAAGTTTGAGATCTTAGAAATGCACTGCACCTAAATTTCTTGCTCTTGAAAAAGGCATCTGCTGAATGTCCTGTCTTACATTCATCTGAGTGAACTCGCACATCACCATGGCCTAACTGTTCAATTCCCCCAGTTATAGTGGCAAAAAACAGTTTGGGTACCCCAGGTCAAAATTTCTTTTAGTGTGAATTTTAAGAGTAGAAGATAAACTGATTTCATTTAAGATCAGTGTATTAATTTGGATATTACATATTGGAGCATGTCCAGGGTTTTGTTGGGAACCCCGAACAGGACACCATTGCAGTAGTCCAGGCAGGAAGTGATGAAGGAGTAGATGAGTGTTTCTGTTTCAACTGAGTCGGTGAGTGATAGCCGGAGTCTGGAAATGTTTTTCAGGTGGTGGAAAGCAGATTTGGTGACAGATTTGATGTTGGTCTGAAATGAGAGGGTGGAGTCAAGGATCACTCCCAGGTTGCGGACCTCAGCAGATGGTAAGATGGTGGCACTGTCAATGGTTAGGCTTAGATCCCCAACCTTCCCGAGCAGTGCCTTGGGGGCCACAACCATGAACTCTGTCTTGTTGCTGTTCAGTTTGAGTAGATTAGATGTCAACCAGGATTTCGAGGAGGCAATTGATGAGAGACTGAGGGGGCAGATGGGCAGAGGGTTTTGTACAGATGTAGAGCTGGGTGTCGTCGGCAAAAAGAATGAAAGTTGAGACCATGGTGGCGGATGATCTTGCCTAACGGGAGCATGTAAATGTTGAACAGAAGGGTCAGCGGCGATGAGGAGGTCATTGGTGATTTTGATGAGGGCGGTCTCGGTGCTGTGGTGCTTTCGGTAGCCAGACTGGAGGGGTTCATAGAGCTCATGGTTGGACATATGCTGGTGGAGTTGGTCATCAACTGCTCTTTCCAGGATTTTACTGAGAAAGGGAAGGTTGGAGATCGGCCGGTAGTTGCTGAGGTCAGTAGGGTCAAGACCAGGCTTTTTCAAAATGGGGATGACTAAGGCAGTTTTGAAAGTGGTTGGATAGATGCCGGATAACATGGAGGAGTTCAGAATGTCAACAATGATAGGGGAAACGATAGGTAGGGCTGCTTTGACAAGGGCTGTGGGCATGGGGTCCAGAGAGCAGGTGGAGGGCTTGGCCTTGGAGATCAGCTTGGCAACCTGGACGGCATCCACAGGGGAGAAGGTGGAGAAGTTGCATGTGGGGAGGTGTGCAGCAGGAGCAGTGATGGTAGGAACTTGGGTTGTAGGTGGTGCAGGGGAGACAGCCGCTAGGAGCTGCTGGTGGATTGAGTCCACTTTGTCCTGAAAAGAATTCAGGAATTGAGAGCAGAGGTTGTGGGCACCTGGAGGATGAGGGTGGTCAAGGGGGCGAAGAAGGCGGTTGATGGTGGAGAAAAGTTTCCTTGGTTTGAGCTCTCAGACAACTTTAACCAGGGTCTCACACCACAATTAGCTTGTTAGGCCTATGGCTTGTTCACAATCATCATTAGGAAAGGCCAGGTGATGCAAATTTCAAAGCTTTATGAATACTCTTGACTCCTGAAACCTTGTCCCAACAATCAGCAGCCATGGGCTCCTCTAAACAGCTGCCTAGCACTCTGAAAACTAAAATAATTGATGCCCACAAAGCAGGAGAAGGCTTTAGGCAGATAGCGTTAAAGTGTTTTCAGGTATGTATCCTCAGTTCGTAATGTAATTAAGAAATAGCAGGTGCTGAGGAAGTAGAAGATGAACTGATCTCCAAAATGCGTGAAATTAAAGATGAAACATGATTTCAACATTTTAAGCAAGATCAGTGTATGTTTTTTGTTTTGTACAAAGTCAGAGTGAAAAAAAGAAAAGGAGCACTATGAAAACGTTTGGGCACCCCAAGACATTTGCGCTCTCAGACAGCTTTTACCAGGGTAGCTGTTTCCTCAGTTGGTAATGTAATTAAGAAATGGTGTTAATTGGAGCTGTGGAGGTCAAGTTGAGGTCTGGAAGACCATAAAGATTTGGAGAGGTGGTGCCCTGTTCTATTGTGCAGTGACACCTGTACAAATATGACCTCCATGGAAGAGTCATCAGAAGGAAACCTTTCCTGCATCCTTACCACAAAATTCAGCATTAGAAGTTTGCAAAGGAATGTCTAAACAAGCCTGATGCTCTCTGGCTACAAGTCCTGTGGACTGATGAAGTTAAAATTTAAAAAGTTGAAATCGAACTTTTTAGACGCAATCAACCACCACACCATCTGTAAAAACGTTGAAGATGAAGAGAGGATGGCTTCTACAACAGGACTATGATCCAAAACACACCTCGAAATCCAAAATGGACTACCTCAAGAGGCACAAGCTGAAGGTTTTGCCACTGTATTCACAGTCCCCCGACCTAAACATCATTAAAAATCTGTGGATAGGGGCGGCGGTGGCTTAGTGGTAGAGCAGGCACCCCATGTACAAGGCTTTTGCCGCAGCGGCCCGGGTTCGAATCCAGCCTGTGGCCCTTTGCTGCATGTCATCCCCCCCTCTCTCTCTCTCCCCCCTCCATGCTTACCTGTCCTGTCCATTAAAGTCAAAATGGCCAAAAAAAAAAATCTTTAAAAAAAAATCTGTGGATAGACCTAAAAAGAGCAGTGAATGCAAGACGATCCAAGAATCTCACAGAGCTAGAAGCCTTTTGCAGAAAGAATGGATGAAAGTCTCCCCCAACAAGAACTGAAAGAGTTCAGTGGTGTTCATTATGTCTTTAGTTTATGATAATGACTTTAGTTGTTCTTTTATCTCAGACATGTCAAGGTATGTAATATCTAGGCCTGGGACAGTCAGCGATCAAATCGTATATTGGCGATTTTAGGGTTGCCAGGCAATTTGCTGGATATCAAGGTGATTTTGGGAAAAAAAAAAAAAAAACGGCGCTCTACCATGCATTAAGAGATGTTTTTTGGGGAAATACATGACGGTCAGAGAAGCCCCGTTTACAGACAGACCTACAATCCATCTCCTCTCCTCTCCTCTCCTCTCTCTCTTCTCAGCGGAGGGTGCCCTGTCAGCCCTGCGCTGACAGTGACAGGGCGCATCTCTTTGATCCGAAGTGACACAGCCCGTTTGCTCATACTTCGGGGTCGTTCAATAGAGTAATTGCAAATAAATATTGTTTTAATGTGTAACTACTGAAATGTTCACAAGGGCTTTCATAAATTCCTATAATGTTGCGGCACTGCCGCCTTTTCAGGTTAAAAGTTAATGACAGCGACTTGAAGTGAGGAGGAGCAATACGTAACCAGCGCAGTGTCGGTACCGACACTGCTGAACTGACAAGCCGGAGACGCTCACTTTTGCATGTGATGCAAAATATTACAATAACATCATTATAACACATAAAATATAAAAATGCGGTGGTAGGCCTAGGCTATAGCCTGTATCTTTTAGTCTATTGCATTTAAGTTCCTACCATGTTGTTTTGTCCTTCGGCTCACCTCTGGCATCTGGGATAAACCCAAAAAACTCCCAAATTGGAGATGTGGCGTTTTTCTTTGCCACCAAAGCCACAGCGGTGTCAGTGATGGCTGACTGGTAGTGATCGACGTAAGAGACGTGCCAAGGCCGTAACCCCCCACGTGCCAAGGACGAAAAACGCCAGCACTCTCAAATGTCCTTTTGACATTTGAGAGTGCTGGCGTTTTTCCCTTTTTCCCAAACTTTTGCTTCAGGCCGTTTTCCTTTTTTGTTATTTTGAAACTGTAAAAGATTTAAATTTAAAAAAAAGTAATCTTGCTTAAAATATTAAAGAAATGTGTCATCTTGACCTTTTTGCCTTTTGGAAATCAGGTCATCTTTTTCTTACACAGTAAATAAAATTTTGACTGGGGGTGCCCAAACTTTTTCATGCCACTGTACATTTCACTTAGTCAGTGGTCTGTTTGATTGACAGAAACCACCCAGCATTCATCACTGAATTCGCAGCTGCCCACCTTCAAACTATTCTGATTGGCCACTTCTAAACTATGATTTGGGAAATTAGCAGAGCTCATCTTTTCAATGTAGCTAGGTTAAGGTCAGATCTATATAGGACACTAAATGCCTAAAACATGATAATATCAGTTTGTATAGATATATTTCTTTTTTTTTTTTTTACAAATTACTTGTATTTTTTTTTTGTATTGTATTTCTGATACATTTGCTAAGCAAGTATATGTTATATATACCAATATATTTTTGAATGTATTTGTGTCCATCTCTGTTCATGGTGTACACATGTAAAGTGACAGAAGTAGTTGTATGAGGAATGAAGTTAAAGTCCTGCCTACCTCCACACTTCCAAACACCTGACCAATCATTGTATAAAGGTGTGGTTCCATCCAATTTTGCTAAAAGGTGATGAGTTTGCAGGTTTGATCTACATCTACAAAATTTTGAAATGGAGACACTGTAAAGATCAACCTTGCTCTCAAATGCTTTTGTGTCTGACTCCTGTGTCTCAGCAGACAAGCTCACCGGTCCCAGTGCCCACTGCTACCTTGGTACGAGTGGTGAAAAACGCCAACACACTTGGCATTGCTATAGAGGGGGGTGCCAACACACGCCAACCTTTGCCGCGCATAGTCACCATTCAGGTGAGACAATGATACAATAGGGTTTTGCTGATTTATGGTTGGAAGCCATTGTTTTGTGTTCAGTCTTGTCTTTTATAAACTACTGTATAAGCCTTGAATTGAAAATTGTGCAGGGAAAATGTTTACTCCAGAGTATTAACATTGTCCTTTCGGCTTTAATAGAAAATCTGTCTTCATTCAGCATCTGATTATTAGCTTGCATTTGTTTTGCACAGACAGCGTTCCTAAGCAATCTGCAAACACAAGTCTTCTCAGACACCTTTCACATTCTGTTAAGTCGAAAAATGTACAAAGAAAGCAAAATGGTACATTTCCAAAGCAGAAGTGTTCTATATGGGCTGAGAGTGAGAGGTGATAACATCAGCCACAATTGCTGCATGATTTATAGCCTTGGGCACCTCAGCAGTACCCTCACCCTCCCACCACCAACCCACTGGCTCTTTTGTAAGAAGCGCTTGAGGAGTTTTTCTTGTCTGTGCAGTGATTTTCATAACAGTGACTCCTTTCACCTGCCTCTATTAGTCTCAGACAGTGGAGGACATTGAATGTCAGTCAGTATGCTGATGACCCTCATAGTCATTTAGCAGCTTGTCAGATAGCATCCCCTATAATCAGTGTGACATTGCACATTCAGCCAGTTATATTCCTGTGAAATTAAGGGGCTGTAATCTAATTACACTCACATTCTGAAAGGCTGCACACAGTCATTGGAATCACTGTTGGTGTTGAAGAGACTAAAGTGTTGATTTATCTGTTTTTAGCCCTTTATAAAATCAGTTACTGTAGGTTGAAAGAGGAGTTGAAAGAGTTGGCAGGTGGCTAAGAGGTGAGGACCCTAACAATACGTACACACAATCCGCCTGAAATAAAACCTCCTCAGTAAATCACGTCCTGTGCTGTATTTTGAAGAGAAAAGGGTACTTAAAGGGAGATGTTTATGTTTCTTTGTGCAGTAAGAGAGTACTCCACAAATGTAGCATGGTATTCCAATAGCATTGTAAAATCCACAGTGGACAATTTTAACAAAAGGTATCAAAATTTGTGAGGCAGAACCAGAGATGTCGTCTTTTCTTTTCCATGCACTCTTGCTCCTTGTCAGACTTCACAAAGCTCCCTTTTGTCATGGCCAGTGAACACAGGTAACAAGAGAAGGATCCTAACGCAGACAAAGCAGGCAGACTGGATCAGTTCTCTGATTTAATAGACAAGATACATATGCTTACGGAGTCACAAAGAAGGCAAGGGTTAAACGAAGAAGACAGCCCAAAAGCAAAAAATGAAAAATGGTCGGCCTGAGGACTGAACGGCCAAGGAACAGGAGACCTCTAGCGGACGGCATGGGAACTCAATTAAGGCAGAGCAGGAGACCTGAGGTGAATGGCCTACAGGGCTCAACAGGATTGGAGTCACTCAGTAGGATGGCCAGACATCAGGACCAATGAGTGACGCAGTCCACTGGAGATCTTTGGGGTCTCGCTGGGCGTTGGTGGAGGAAGACAACTGAACTGGCAGGGCGTTGGCAAAGCTGGCCAACTGAGGCTAATGATCTGCTGCTGGAGATGGCTGACTAAGGGTCTGGAAGATCTGGCAGAGCGTTAGAGATGGCAAGCTGGGGTTCAGGCCAGATATCTGAAGGGGAAACCAACTAGACTCTTTTGGCACTGTGCAGCTGAGATACTCAAGTGCTGGGCAGCTGAGTCAGCCAATGGCACCAGGGGCCTTGAAAACCATGCCCTCTTCTGGGGATTCCATAGCCCCCCTGAAATGGCAGGGCAAGTCCCTTGAAATATTGCCACTTGACATCAGGGTTGCTCCTCAGCTACCTCAGCTCAACAAGGTTGAGGCAGTTGGCATTTGAATTGCATTTTATACTTACAGTATAGCCAAAAATGTTGTAGCCTGACAACAGCAGACCAAATCAAAAAAAGGAAGTTAGTATGAAACCTCCTAGGTGCATTATCTTAGGTGAAGTATCAAAGACCATAGACCAAAATACTTCTGGATGCATTTGATAGATGATCTTCAACCAATCAAAGCAACAAAACATGATGTATTGCACTGTTGAGCCACAAGCCTTTTCTTGGTAAGGTTTACAAAAAGAGTTGGTTGACATTAAAGTTAGTGGATCTCTGCCAGAAATGGCTTTCTGGTAGAAAGCACCACATGCACGCAACGCTGAGCATAAATGTTTTCAAATATTAACAGACTACAGCGTGCAGAGATAAGCTGTGTTGGTGTAGCATCAATGTCTTTGTGAACAGGGTTGCTGTTTTGCCATCAGAATTTGAAATCCAGTACGTAAAAAAAAAAAAAAAAAAAAAAAAAAGCTCCAAATCAGCTACAGCCATCTTGGGTGTTTTTTTTCTTAACCAAGTTAGGTTAATTCTCTTGGTAATGTCACCAGCAAGAGGGCATGAGATTAAAGCAAATGTGTTATGAAAGGTAATATTATTTGTTTAGCCACTGAGCTCTTTAGCAGAAACAGTTCATAATTGTTTGTGTTATGGTTCGCTAGCACACAGTAAATATCCTTTGCTCTTTCATTATTGGGTTTAGGGATGTCACGATACTAAAAATTCAGTAGTCTGTGCCGATACCAGTAGAATTGCATGATACTCGATACCAAAGTCAAAACGACGGTAAAAAAAAAAAAATCCTAAGATCCCATGTACAAGAAGTACTTTATTAAAGTATTTGCATATAAAATAATATTTCTATCAACAGATTGATATTACTTATATTTTTTCTTTTTCTCTTTTCCTCTTTACCTATTTTTTGTTGTAAAAAACATTGATCAACATCCGCAGTAAACTCAATAAACTATTTAAATATTTACTATTTAAATCACGCTGACAGCATTTGAGCCGACCACAAGAATGTGTGGAATTTCGTTGGTTTCATTTATTGTTTGTCCTGTCCTGGTGTAAACAGCGTTTTTTGACGTCCGTGGTCCAGTTGTGGAAACATCAAATGTCCCAGTACAATAAATCAAATGCACCACAACCACTGTGTTTCAGAAGTAGACGTGCATGCGCAGTCACGTACTGCTGAGAGTGAAATCCCTGATCATTACCTCACACACACAGCTGTTCTCTGTGTTGTTGAAATTAAACAAAATAATATGGAAGATATCTGCTTATTATGCTACTGATTTTAATTGGGATATTTTTTGATGAACTGAATGACATTTAAGGGAGTGCTGCACATCTCGAAGGCTGGGCTCATAGGAGACCACCGGACTCTCCCCCAGGGGAGGGGCTGAGGGAGCGAGGGAGATGTCCAGAGTCCGGACAAAGCTCCGCACAGAGCACGGATGGTTCAGAAGCAATTCAGAATGAGTTAAAAGCAATTAATAAACAGACAAAGTGGTGTTTAAAACTGCATATATTGCTAGCAGATCTATTTTCTGGCCTAAAGTGCGAGTACAAGGTCCACACACACATCCAAACCACAAAAAAGGGCAGGTGCTGAGCCAAAAAAAAAACATAGAATGCAAAGAAGAAACAGCTTGCACACCGCAGGGCTCCAATGTTCAGTCCATTTATTAGCACCGTGTGCAGCAGAGAAATAGAAGAAACGTTTCGAGCAAGACGCTCTTTGGCAGACTACTAGTCTGACTGAACATTGGAGCCCTCCGGTGTGAGAGCTGTTTCTTCTTTGCTGGCCTAAAGTGCGGCCGTGACTGGTTCTGAATGTGGGCTTTAGCAGGCAGCTGTTCTCTCTTCTTCCTCGTCACCCCCTCGCTCTGAATGTAGGCATGGGCTGTAACGCTCTATGGCGTATACTGCCCCAATCAGTTCTGGAAGAGTCATAGCACCGATTCCTACGCTGGTATTGGTTCTTCTGGTTTTTCAAAAAATGAGTAGCGCTGGGTTTTTTCATCATGGTATTGCGAGTATCGGTTCTCATGACATCACTAATTTGGTTGTGTTGTTAATGTACTAACTGGCTAATTAGCATCTTGAATCTGTCCTGTTGGTCTTCTGGTATTGAATACAGACTCTGCCGCTTGCTGTTATGGTGACATATTTCCTCCCACACAGGCACAGAATGTACATGCTTGTCAGCCACTTGTTGTAGTTTTGACGGTGTGTTCAAGTGCAACTCTTTGGCCGAGACACAGGCAACAAAACAGTCGGCCTTTGTTGCCACTAGTTCTGTGATGTTGGTTTGGTATGTTTGGGCCTCATGGTGCTAGAAGTTTGTTGAAGTAGAGGGCTAGTAGTAGTCAGTGAACTACTGAACCTGGCAAGCTGACCACTAACTGATTAGCCACCTGAGAAAATGCAAGCGTTGATCACAATACAGTAGCTCAGTACTATAGCTGCCTTCCGATGTTAGTCAGCTGCAGCACATTTAACAGATTAAAAGCATAGCTGCTAACATTAGCATCAGTCAGTTGAGATGCTAAATGTTGTGTGCCTTGCTTTTCAACACTGCTGTCTGTTCTTGGCTTGTCAACTAGTTAAAAGTGCAAGTTTGTTCACGCTGTGTCTCTGCGTCTCTCTTGGCTTGGCTGTCAATCAAACACATACACTGGGCCAACCAATCAGGAGGATTCACCCCCAAAGTGGGGAAGCCACCAAGTTTCTGAGCTTATTATGCTTGTTTTTATTTTGAATTTATATGAGCAGACTAAACACACAACAACAGAAAATATGCATGCTTACTTAATAACCTTGTTCATGGTGTGTGATCAGGCCTGGTTTTGCTTGGCTGGAGCAGCTGGTCAGTGCTGTCTGCCTCTTGACACCTTCAGAAGCATCTTCAGTGTTGACAAGCACTTTGATGCTTGACCAAAAAGTGTCGATGCGTAGCTGATAGTAGAAAAACTATGGATGTGTTTGGAAATCAAATGTTTGGCATCAAAACTTGGTCCAGTTTCCAGCACTCAGACGTGAGCAGAGAATCTTCTGATTCATGACTCATGGTACTCATCAAATCTCAGATCCTTGTCTGTGTTTAAAGCTGACCAATCTCTTTTCCTGTCATTTCTTTGAAACATAAATGTTACATATTAGTGTAACTGAACTGTTGTAACTAAACAGAACACTGACGTTGCCTATTGAGGTGCTTGAAACCCTTTAATGCATTTGGGCTTTACTAGAGGAAGCTACCATTATGACCTCAGCCTTGTCCTCTGGGCCACTAGGAACTGTTGCACTGAAGCAACTCGGGGTTAATGCCGTGCTCGTAGGCATATTAGTGATGGTTGTAGAAGCAGTTGGAAGTGTGTCTGATTAATTACGCCACTCCGAGTTTCTTGGCCAGTCTGCTGAATTAAAATTCATTATTATTGGCCTGTATGCCCTGCAGTGATGTTTTCAGCGGCTACTACAGCTGCATAATTGAATGTCACAGCTAATAAATCTGTTTAACTCGGAGGATTAAATTGAATCAGGCAACATTGGCAGATGTCCTGTTTGTCCTAAGTGGAGGTACGATCAATGAATGGATGGATGGATTAACCCTGTGGCTCTGTCAGAAGAAACACAAGTGGTCATGTAACACCACAGACACACACACAAGCACACACACGCATATGTGTGTGTGTACACATATACACAGAGGCACACATACAGAATTCCTCCCGACAAATGACTCATCCCAGCCAAATTCTCCATTTTCTTCAATAGCTAACAAATCTTTAAAATGTCAAGTATAAAATCAGCACATCACGTTAACTACATGTCTTTTTAAATACATCTAGAGTACAGGAATTAAAGAAAAATATGTGTTTTTCAAGTAGGAACTAGGAAGGACTGTGATGCAGAAATTGTACTGACAATCTGAGTATTTTAAAGCAGCATTAATTTGGTATGTATTGGCCACTTGAGGTCAGTGGAATAAGCTAAAAACAAATAGCTCTATAGCAGCTTTTCTGTCAGCTGGCAGGTAGTGTGTAGTGAGTATGTAATTGTTTTTCACTGAAAACAGTGTGAAGTGCAAAATTTATGGGGCAGTGAAACCAAAACTGTGACTATTGTAATTATATTATTTGAGGAAGTGTCGTAAGGTTGTTTACATTGGGCCCCAATGCATGGTATGATGACGGGCCCTGAGGCATGTTAGTTACTTGTTATGCACTTAAACTAGCTACGATATAATCTTATGGTCACGTGATCAGATAGAGGCTTGACATTGGATAACATCAATATACATGTCACCCAAAAATCATCATCGCATATTTCTTAGGTGGCAATATGAATTACTCATAAGGGCTCGCTTTCTGCCCAACATATAGTTAGAGGGCCCACTCTCTATGGGCCCCTTCACCCCATGGGCCAGTATTGTTGAAAGAAGCCTAAGAACCAAGTATTCCATTGCCAGTGACAGCTTCACTGTCATAATTGTGCACATGACAATACAGAACTTGAACTTTATTGTACCAGGTGTATTGGAGCTGAATAGTAGAAATTTAAATCTTGGTATTTCCTAAGAATTCACAACAAAATCTATTATACCTGCAGGAAGAAAGAGTTTCCAGCATTTGTGCTCATGTGATCATGTATCAAAGACCATCATATGTATCCAAACAAGATGCTATCTCCATACCCTTTAAAGGCACAGACACACAAAATCAACTTCAAAGAACTAGGGGCAACAAAAGCCATCTGTTGCATAGCCTAACGTCACTTGTGTCCCAGCTAAAAATTTGCACATAAACACACCACAAGACAACAGCCAACAGCCAACCAGCATGTACGTACTGTGACTGTGTGACAGGAAATAACTCTCCTCAAAATCAGACAATTTGTCATTCAAAAAGGTAAGACCATCATGACGCTAGTTAGCCAGTTAGCACATTAACAACACAGTCAAATGTTGAAAGAACAGAGCATAGTACCATTTGCCAGTGAACAGTAACAAAAACCATCACAAAAAATAATCTTACCTTATGTTACAAGTTTGTTTTGATCTCACTCCCTTTTAAATTCAGCTCTTTGTTTACTTTCCTCACTTCCATTTATCTTCTCGTGCACTGTGATGAACAGTCAATCAGAGTGTTTTGATTCGCCGACAGGGTCTGACAGCACTGACACTTATTCACCATGCTGAATCAACCAAAAAAAAGCAGACAGGGGCCAATGAGGGTCAACGGTGTGTGACACACTGCATTGACTAGGGTGACAGAAGCTCATAGACGGCCCAACATTGACCACTTACCGCTTGTCAGCTGAGTATATCAGAGCCTTTAAAGCTACTGTTGCAGCTCAAGTGTGACATTGATATGCCCTTATTACAGAAATATAACCAGATCTTTTCAGCTGCAGTGGTTTCTTCCAATTATTTTTTGCTGAGACAGCAGCTGGACTATATCCAGCTGTATGGCAAACTATATTTTTAGCCTAAGTGTGAATAAAGCAGGGAGCAAAATCTTTAAATGAAAACCATGTAGTCTGGGCCTAGGAGGAGTGCAGAGGAGCATTCAACAAGCAGGCCTGTTGCCAGGATTTTAGAAATACTATGGGCACAGGTCCAACATCCACCAGCATAACCCTATCCACTGTAAATAATATTAAAAAAAAACGTGTGTTTAATTTTTTTAAATTTTATGTATTAATCTAACAACCACATTATAGATTCTGTATAGTTTCATCTCTCCATACAATGGTTTAAATGTTGTTTTAATGCTCTCTCGCACAATGCCCAGATATAATTCTGATGTTGAAATGTTTTGCACTAAAGCATCACCAAGTCAAATTTCTTGTAAGTGCAAGTAACTTGGCAATAATTCTGATTCAGGAAAAATGCTGTTCTATTTCTGCCATTTTTTGGCTTAATTTAAGGAATTTGGCTCCAGAAAATACAATATACAATATAATACAAAAAAAAAATCAACTCTTCATTTATTTGCAACCACAAATTCCCACAGACACTGCCTGTCCTCTATGGGAATATGGTAATAATTTTAATAATAATTTATTTGTATACCACTTTTTAAAACATTCAATGCCCTACACATTAGGGCTGCTCGGTTATGGAAAAAAATCCTAATCATGATTATTTTGGTCAAAATTGAAATCACGATTATGCAAATGATTATGCGGCGCATGTGATGACTTATATTGTTTACACGACGTAATGTCATTTCTGTCTCTAAATGGTCGCGCGTTTACAATTCTCCTCTGCTCTCTGTGTCGCGCACGGCGGAGTTCGGCCCAATGCGCGCGCACGCACACACACACACACACACACACACACACACACACATACAAACATACAAACCAACCTCTCTCGCTTTCCCTCTGCCATCTGCCAAACTGTTTTTGAAATCTTCTTATTCGTAGTTCACCTACTTGACTGGCTGGTGGAATGAATAGAGGAGAGGAGGGGAGGGGGCGGTATTGCGCATGCGCAGCTTCCATAGAAGACAAAATAACATCTCCAGGTGTCCACCAAGAATTGTTTACCCTCGATTTCATTAATTTTGAAATCGTTTGACCTCAAAATTCGTAAAAAATTATAATCGCGATCACCAGACGATTAATTGCACAGCCTTACTTCACATATAGACAAAATTACCCACATACAGATACAAATATACACACACATACATACATACATACATACATACATACACAACAACATACATACCTACCTACATGCAGGGAAGAGTAAAATCTCACAGCCAACAAAATAAAGACAAATTGAGGGTGCTTATAAAAAATGAACTTACCAAAGATTCAGCCATTCTGATTGAAAAGGGAAGGCTTTTCCACAGATTTGGAGTTACAGCCGAAAAATGGGAAGGTCATCTCTGAATTTAAAAAAGAATGAGGAACAGCTAAAAGGCCTTGATCAGAAGATCGGACTTGTCTACAGCTAGTATAGGCAGCTCTCAGCAGCTCTGCTATATATGCAGGGGCCAGGCCATGCAAGGTCTTGTATGTAATTAGTAAAAGTATACAATAAATGCTGTGTTTTACTGGAAGCCAATGAAGGGAGGCAAGAACTGGGGTGATGTCGGACTGATGACTGGTTTTTGTTAAAAGCCTAACTGCTGCATTTTGTATTAGCTGAAGACGAGTTGCAGAGATGCATGAAAAATGCAAGTTAAGAGGGAGTTACAGTAGTGTAAGTGAGAAAAGATTAAGGTATGCACTTGGAGTTCCAAGTTTGTCACTGATAATAGAGGTTTGATTTTGGCAATATTTATCATTTATTAGAGTCAAGACTTAATGAGTTTAGCTCTAAGTTCAAATGATGGTCAAAATTATACCAAGATTCTTAAAGGTGGTCTTTAAGTAATCAATTAGGGGACCAATATAGTAAGTGACCTCCTTAGTAAAGTAATTGGGGCCAATCGCAGAGACCTCAATGAAGTAAAGCTGTGTGTCATCAGCATAGCAATGGTAAGAGATACCATGTGAGAAGTTTAGCAGATTGTGCAGAAGTAGCATGTATTATGAATATGTCATTTGTTGGAGCGGTCTTCTTAATTGTGTCAAAACATTGTTTGTCTTTTCTCCTTCCTTCTCCTGATGTTCCTGTTGACAGAAAGGAGGCTCAGCTCATAACAGCGGTCAGCTGAAGGTGGGTCACGTTATCCTGGAGGTCAATGGCATTCCCCTGAGAGGACGGGAGCACAAGGATGCTGCCCAGATTATAGCCGAGGCCTTCAAGACCAAGGAGAAGGACCACATTGACTTCCTGGTGGTTGAGCCAGGACTTTAGTATGAGGACTCTGCACTTTATGCGGGTTGGCTGAAGAGGACAATGTTTTCCTGCTTTTAGGAAACTGTATGAACTTCACATGATGTTGTCCTATAATCATGGCCCTCATTTTGTTTGCAGGGAGAGGATTGGTAAAAGATATTTGTTAACTGCACCCTACTGAGATTTGCACAATTTAAATTTAGAAAATGATAATATAATTAATATCTGCCATAAAAGTCATACATGCATCAAATGATATTTGCATCAGTTTCATTAGTCTTCAAACCCTGAAACCCTGAACCAGGAGGACTGGGTTAGTACTGATATTGTGGTTGTCACACCCAGTAATATCAAAAACAGCCAATTGTCTTACAGTCAGGAAGTCAGTGTTCAAGTGTCTTGTATTTTTTGTTCTTGCTACAATTTTTGGAGAGGCAGTGCTGCTCTGGAGGCAGATGTAGCTCTTAAAGGATAAATTGGTTAAATTCTAGCAAGGACCTTATCTTTTTCATTTTCATCTCTGTCACCAAGAATAACATTGTACTCTCCAATTAAACACTGTGATGTTTTAACATGCAGACAAACCGGGCAACAAACTCAACCAGACATGTTGAAAACAAGTAAACAGTTTAGCCAGATAAACTGCTTCTTTTGGAGGTAAAACCAAAAGTGAACACACCTGAATCAAAGTGCATTCAGTAGAGTGGGGATCTCCAACAGGTGGCTGCACTGTGGATGCCAGAGCTGATCGCAGCCACTCTAGACACGTGGCACAACTGTGCCCGGTGGAATTGTCTGCAGCTCCCTGAAGCTCTTTTGACCGAATAAGTAAGATGTCTAAAAAAAGAGGTAACCACTGTAATATTTTCACTGGGCTCAATTGTGGTTTACTGTTTACTTACCTGTTTTCCAGCCCATCAGTGACCGTACCTGACACATCACCCAAAAAAAAAAAAAAAAAAAAAAGGCATCCTCTCCAGTGGATGGTATGTATGGAATTAATCTGCAGTTGTTCCGGTCCCAAATGAGACCAAACTGTTTTTAGGATTGTCGTTTTTGAGCCATGACGAAGGCCTAAATGTGGCCTGCCACAGATTAGTTAAGGCTTGTTGTTTTAGCCAAGGCATTTCCAGAAATGCCTTTTTGCTATGTGATTTTGTTGAGGTTCTGCAGCCCCCACTGGCTGGTTAAGAGAATTGATGAGTGAGCAGTCAGTGACAATATAAAACAGTCAGTAAAACAGGTTTTTCAACAATTGTTAATCATTTCCACCACAAGAGGTCCTTGAGCATGCAGTCACAAAAGTGCATGCAAAATATTAGGCTGATTGGTCTAGTAGTTTGCGTGATTAGTTGCAGACAGACAAATACACACATGCATGAAAACACACACACGATCAGAGAGTGATAAAAATCTGTCTTTGCACTGGAACCAGTTGTGCACATTGCTACTGACATCTCAGATGTGTTCACTTTTGGTTTTTACTCAAAATAATGTGGTAGCTAATCTGCCTGAAGTAATGGGTTTGTTTACAACCCGTCTGCACACCCTACCACTTACGTATCTTGTTTTTCTGTCGCACTTCCTTCAATGTCACCACATTTTGAGATGTCAGCAATCAATTGGGTGAGAATGTTCGAACTTTTAAATACTGATGGATAAGCCAAGTTGTAATAAGCCGGAATTTTTCTCAAAACAAATTTGACATGAACTCTAAACAAAAACCAATCAACGTCAAAAATAAAGAGTAGTGGTTGAAGTGTAAATAAAAATACCAATTAGGTGACGGTGGAAGTTCAGCAGGTTTGCTAAGCTAGATGATAAAAGATAAAAGTGTGGCTACTGTATGCATTCATCAAAAGTATATGATTTCATAATGTTAGCCCCCCTTTGTTACTGCCCTCCCCTCTGGCTCTGATGAGTTCACATGGAGGTAAAATTCTGGCTACTGACTGACCACTAGTTACATTTTCCAGGCAAGTTAAAACAAACCTTCCTGCATGTATTGGCCCCATATCTCAACCAGCATATCATGGCAAAATAAACTGTCAAAATCACAGTATGTCCCAGTACTCAGCCTTAACAGAAGAGCTTATTAATAGGATCTACTGAAATGAAGCCTTGATTTGTTATTAACTACGTGCTAATCAACCAATCACTTTCAGAAACTAAATCTCATCAAAAGGATACATAAGCAGCTTAATCAAGTTACCTAAATGGTACTTTTTTTTTCAAAGCATATATATATGTGTCATTTTCAAGATGTCCATTTTTTAACACCTCTTCAGTATTTTAGCAAGATTGCCATATGTACTTCAATAGCTATAAGACAAATGTAAATGGAATAATAGTTTGTATATAATGTAGATTTAAATTCCTCTTAAGAACTTTTTATAATATCAAATACTGGAAGAGAATTTATTATTTCCCAATAATATATTACTAATTTACATCACTCACATTTTATTTAATGTCTTCCCCAAATGGCTGTGGATGTGTCATGTTCTGTATAAAAACCACATCCACACACTAAGGTGATGGAGATTAATGAAGGTCCTATATGAATAATATGATGAGGACTGAGACTCAGAGATAAATTGGTAGACTGTTAATGCACTGTACAGCAAGCACTGATCAGGTTGGAGTATCCTGTTATAATTAAATATGTGTGCACAACTATGAGGAACAGAGGCAGAAAGTCAGGCCTTCATTCAGATTTGACTCAGAAAGCCATACTATCCACTGTCTTAACAGCTCTGGTAAAAAGGAAAATACAGCTGCTATGTGCCCATCATGATCATATAAAAATTACACTGACTCAACAGTTTATTAGGTCTACCTGGCTAAAACTAATGCAGCCTCCTGTAATATAACAGCCCTGCAGTAAATTCCACCTTCATTTTTTGCCAGTATTAATTTCAACCATTGACCCTTAGCCAGACAGTAGTCACTATAACCGTACAACCTTTATGAAGGGAGGGTTTACGAGCTGTTGGAGCAGACTGCATTAGTTTCAATCGTTTTTGAGTCCATTTAGAAAGAGATTGTGCCTCGTTCACTAACGTACTACCAACTTGCCAAAACTGTATTATGAGATAATTACTAAAGTGATGTTAAAACTATTCATTAGACTATAAGACTATCTAGTATCTATCCATTCACAGTAGCTCGGCTCTGTAGAAATGCAATCCATTCTCACTCCCAGGTCGTCAAATACTGACGCTTTTTCACACCCCTTGGCATGTAATAGCAATGTACAGGGCACCCTTTAGTGCCTCTATGTGATGCTCAGCTGAAATACATTGTAACAGGTGGTTAATGATGTTCATGTTAGGCAACAAAACTACTTGGTTACGTTTTAACAAAGGTCATGTGAGGGGTTATAGTAACTATATTTGTTACATAACATGATGTGACATCAGTGCGCAGCAACTGTATGAAAATTACGTAATGTTACATTGAAACAAAAAGATTAGCATATCCTAATACAATGGTTTGTAAGACATCCTATGAATTAACACCTCAGGTAGGTTGTTCTATCCTTCACATAAGGTACCTAATTGATGTAAATTTACAGAGGTTAGGTTTAGGCAAATAGAGCTACTGTGTTAGGGTTAGGAGAAGGAACATGGTGATTAAGTCCCTTGAAATGACTCAAAGTTCACATGGTTCCTAAAATCAGTGTCCTGGAGAAAGTCCTGTGGGAAAGTCTTGTGTTTTGTGACACATCGGTTGCCCCAACCTGCCATCTATAAGGACCACTCGGGCCCGCTTCCTTCTTTACTGTCATCAGAGCATTGGTCACAGTTTGCAGCCTTCCAAAATACATGAGTTTTGCATGAATCACAGGTTCATCATTACTTGGGATATGTACAAAATTTAGTGCATATTTTTTTGTACAAAACCTATGAATAGTGCATGCGAAAAACCTGAATTGATGTAGGTGTGTAAGTTATGTAACTTTCAGTTAAAACGACATTGACTTGGTTTTACACAAGCCATGAATTGTAGTCTTCTTGGTGAAAGTCATGTTTTGTTTGACCCATCCACCTCCCCTCCCTCCAGCCCTATGCTGCCGTCCCTGTCTTATACAATTTCAGTTGCTTTCAGCGTCAAGCATTGCTGTGGATTGGTTTACATCAAAGTTAACTGAAAGCCCAGTTCATCTCATAAACACGCTAAAGGGTGCCTTTGGCAGCTATATCAGGCAAGTGGTGTGACAAAGCGTCTGTATGTGACAACCACAATTCTGTTAGAAGTAGAATTAAAAAAATAGCACTTTTGATTCTAGTCCTTAAAAATATTTGCATTTTGAAATAAGAGGTCATTTCATTAGAATCAAGAAAAATGACACCTGATTGTTGAAAATTCCTGACACATGTTGACTTGTTTTGGAACCTGGTAAAATAATCTCATGTGTTTCACCAAAAAAAAAAAAAAAAAGAAACCACACACTGATGATTTTATACATAAAGGTTTTATTAAAAATTAGACCTTATCCTGAGGTATACATATATTTATCATGCAGGGTAACTGACAACTTCTAGCAAAAAGATGCCATTGCATTCACCCATTCTAAATACTAAAACTCAGGATGTCTCGGGCTTTGCTGCTACAATTTGAAGGGAAAAGGCCAAACCAATTACTTCTTCTTATTTTGACCTATAGCATGACTTTATTTCATAATCAATTTTCAATTTTCAAAACAGACACTCAAATCAATGCCATACAGCTGATTTACCAGAAGCATGTTGCTGCCGACAGCAGTGTTGTTAACTGCAGTGGTTGTAAACCTCTGCCATAGAAAAGGGCAGGACAGTCAGTCGAATATGTGGCTTTCGTTTGGTCTTTCCATCAAAATCATTTGCTTGTTCCATACAGCCGAGAAGTATTTTAGTAGACATTCTTTTCTTAACCATGGTCCAAAGTAATAGAGTAGAGCCAAGTAATCCAAATGGAGATACTAGTACAGAAGTACATGCTTTCAAAAATGTATTTTGGGCAGATTCTATTTATGATGGTTATATTATATTTTTGTAATCTTACGATATAATCCCACTACAGTGAGATAACATCGATTAGTAGGAAAATGTAGGCGTTTATTGATAAGATGTATGACTAATGCAACACTAAAGTGTCTGGATTCAAGGATGAAGTGTTGGTGAGAATATTGTGCTGTTTAAACGATGTGTAAATCAGACTATGTTTTTTGTTTTGTTTTGGTGAATGCCAACTGTTCAAAAATCATATCTTGTACAGAAAAATCTGCACATAGATTTATAGAGATGTACATACAGTAAATGCGGTTAGAGATTTTTGTTCAACACAATTATGTAACCCCTTTGTGGCTGATGTAACTGCTAGCATCTCTTGTGTGTTTCCCTTTTCATATCCTATCACAGCTGTCTCACCACAAAACTATCCCCCTGAACAAGTCACTTATTCTTGTATTGGTTGCA